GTTTAAATGACAGTTTTCTCCTTAAAAGTTGCTTTTTAGTTCTAGAAAAAAAAAGATTGTTTTCCTCTCAACCCAAAAATCTACTTTGTGAGGTTTAATCTGAGCCTGGACGTCAGAGAGCCCAGCGCCTGACCCGCTGACCTCTGGCTTCATCTCCAGACACCATACATATTTCTATTGCTGCTCCGACTGCAAAGCGGCTGAACAGGAAGTGGCTTCAAACACCAAGCTTTGCTCACAACCCAACAGAGACGCTGATTTGGACCATTTCAGGTCCAAACATCCAGACTCTTCAGACATCAAAGCTCAGAGTCCAACAGCAGAATCAGCCGGAGCCAAACGTCACATTTGGTCTGTCCAGCCTCCACAGCAGCAGCTCCTTCACACTGTTTCACGTTTAGAAGCTCATTTTAGGGGGGATATTTTTCTATCAAAATGGAATAATTGAAATACTAATTTTACACAGAAGTGATTAATTTTTTACATTTAAATACCAGTTTAGTGTTGCTGCAGATCTGGAAAACTAAGACAAAGAGGATCAACCAACAAAAACTGTTAGAGGTGATAAAAACTTTATCACACTGCAATAATCCATCCACGCTCCCCTCTCTGGATTAATAATCAATCCAATTATTCATCTCATGGGAATTTTAATCAATCTAATCATCCAATAGGAAAAAATTATTAATCCATCTGTCAATTTAGTGGAAATCCATTTATATAGCGGGATTATAATAATCTATGCATCATCTGGCCTAAACATTCCTTCTGACAGTAAACTGACAGGATTTCTGATCCAATCACAGATCTATAGATCAATAATGGTGGAAGCTGCTAATGGCGCCGCAGAGACTTGGGTTCAATGGGTTTGAATAGAAATAAGACGCTTAAACTAAGACCCACATAACTCGGTTCCCACAGCGACACGGTTCCCACAGTGACACGGTTCCCACAGCGACTCGGTTCCCACAGCGACTGGGTTCCCACAGCGACTCGGTTCCCACAGCGACTGAGTTCCCACAGCGACTTGGTTCCCACAGCGACTGGGTTCCCACAGCGACTTGGTTCCCACAGTGACTGGGTTCCCACAGCGACTCGGTTCCCACAGCGACTGGGTTCCCACAACGACTCGGTTCCCACAGCGACTGGGTTCCCATCCAATCACAGCGACACGGTTCCCACAGCGACTCGGTTCCCACAGCGACACGGTTCCCACAGCGACTCGGTTCCCACAGCGACACGGTTCCCACAGTGACTGGGTTCCCACAGCGACTGGGTTCCCACAGCGACACGGTTCCCACACCGACTCGGTTCCCACAGCGACTGGGTTCCCACAGCGACTCGGTTCCCACAGCGACTGAGTTCCCACAGCGACTTGGTTCCCACAGCGACTGGGTTCCCACAGCGACTTGGTTCCCACAGCGACTCGGTTCCCACAGCGACTGAGTTCCCACAGCGACTTGGTTCCCACAGCGACTGGGTTCCCACAGCGACTTGGTTCCCACAGTGACTCGGTTCCCACAGCGACTCGGTTCTCACAGCGACTGAGTTCCCACAGCGACTTGGTTCCCACAGCGACTTGGTTCCCACAGCGACTCGGTTCCCACAGCGACTCGGTTCCCACAGCGACTGGGTTCCCACAGCGACTTGGTTCCCACAGCGACTGGGTTCCCACAGCGACTGGGTTCTCACAGCGACTCGGTTCCCACAGCGACTGGGTTCCCACAGCGACTTGGTTCCCACAGTGACTCGGTTCCCACAGCGACTCGGTTCCCACAGCGACTGGGTTCCCATCCAATCACAGCGACACGGTTCCCACAGCGACTCGGTTCCCACAGTGACTCGGTTCCCACAGTGACTGGGTTCCCACAGCGACTCGGTTCCCACAGCGACACGGTTCCCACACCGACTCGGTTCCCACACCGACTCGGTTCCCACAGCGACACGGTTCCCACAGCGACTCGGTTCCCACAGTGACTCGGTTCCCACAGCGACTGGGTTCCCACAGCGACACGGTTCCCACAGCGACTGGGTTCCCACAGTGACTCGGTTCCCACAGTGACTGGGTTCCCACAGCGACTCGGTTCCCACAGCGACACGGTTCCCACACCGACTCGGTTCCCACACCGACTCGGTTCCCACAGCGACACGGTTCCCACAGCGACTCAGTTCCCACAGTGACTCGGTTCCCACAGCGACTGGGTTCCCACAGCGACACGGTTCCCACAGCGACTTGGTTCCCACAGCGACACGGTTCCCACAGCGACTGGGTTCCCACAGCGACTTGGTTCCCACAGCGACTCGGTTCCCACAGCGACTCAGTTCCCACAGTGACTCGGTTCCCACAGCGACTCGGTTCCCACAGCGACTCGGTTCCCACAGTGACTCGGTTCCCAGCCAATCACAGCGCGGCTCGGCGGCTTAGCCAACCACAGACCGCAGAGTAAATCTCCACCAACAGTGAAAGTGAGGGGTTAATGGAGATGTAAAGTGTTTAATGGCTGCCGGGTCTCCTGCTGCCTCTGGACACATTTTAGTGGTTTGTTTAATTGAAGCCTGTTCGCGCGGCGCCATTAGTTGTTAATCAGTGGATCAATAATGCTCCACTGATTAACAATGGTGACTCCGTGAAGCGGCCTACCCACCTCCTGCGGCTCCGTGGCGGTCAGCGCGGCGCGGAGCGGCTTACTCGGCGCGCGGTGCTTCGGGGACGGGGAGGCCGGCGGCTTGCGGACGCCGTCGCCCTCCTCTGTTGGGTCCGAGCTGGACATGGCATCGCTCGGTTTGTCCGCGTCGCCAGCGGCCGAGAACACCACCATCACTTTGGGCAGCGGGAGCGTCCTCTGTCGCTCCTGAATGAAGCGCCTCACCCGCGTAGTGGCGGCGGGCAGCGGGCTGAAGGACCGAGCCTGCCGCTCCCTGCCGCCGTCAGAGCCGATGGAGCCGCTCGAGCCATTCTGCTGCATGCACGCGGCCGGCGGGGCCAGCTGTCGCGGACAGGGAGACGTCTGGAGCCGCGGGACCGGCAGCGGGTCTCCCGGGACAACAACAACCAGAGGGTGTGGCTGGAGCTCAGCCCGCCACCCCCACAGGCGAAGCGAAAGCGGGAAATGACGCCTCCAGTGACCGAAAGCCTTCACAGCATCGCAGTTCTATGAAGGATCCGTCCAGTCGCTCGGCTACGTCAGCGTTGGAACGTACGTGGCGTGACGTAGGAGCGAACGTTAACGTCCGTACGTGAAGTTTAAAAGGACAGATACCTTGAATTATCTGCATATTATTGATGCATACTGATGACGATAATAACTGTTATGACACCATAAAAGCTCATTAAAAGTACAAACAATAAAATCACAGTGGCGGTTCTTGTATTAATGGCGCCTTGGGCTCTGCAGCCCCGACTCTATATGTTTACATATAACAATTATTAAAAATATGTTTTCAAATTACATATACAATATGTGGCAAAACTAGAATTTTGTCATTGGGGTGGAAGGGACATGAGAATGACAACACACACACACACACACACACCTATATCTAGATATATGTACAGAAATATATATGCAGTTGTATCTGCAGCACATAGACATTTTTTGATCAGAATAATTCAAAATCAATATACTAATTGATGGCTAAAATGATTGTGAACAGCCCAATCCTTGCTTTAATTGCTGTTTCTTATTCTTGGCTTTAAGCTCGACAGAAACAAATGTGAAGATGTTGACAGGCCTGTTCATAACGGCCATTTTGGTTGGTTTATTAAAACAAACCTTTTGTTCAGACGATTCCTTAAAGTCCTCAAAGTTTGTGATCAAGACATTTCAATGTATTGATCACTTTTTTCTGTTTCTGATTTTACTCGTTTTTGCTGAAAGTATTTCTCTAGTTTTTGGTTTTTATGAAGTAGAAACAAACAACTCATGTCAGTCTGTTCTTTTTGGAGACGTTTCTCTGTCTGGTCATGTCGTGTTTTTCCTTTTCCATCTCTTTGGCGGTTTCAGTCTTCTGAGCTCATTCTTTTAGTCCAAAGTTCTGCTTTTATTTTCTCTGCTGAAGCTTCTGAAAATCAAAGTTTGTCCTGCAGACGCTGTCTCTCTTCTCGACCCCCATCTCATCTTTCTTCACTCCAAGATCAAAGCTTCTGGTTTCTCGTAAAAGTGTGTCATGTTCTCTGGGTCTGCGGGGAAAATGGCTGCTTGTCTGTTTCCCAGCCGTGTTTCACATTTTGTCACTTTAAAACAACAAACTTCAAAGCATTGCAGTCCACTTTTATATGACCTACCGACAGAGTAATGCATCAATGTGAGATGGAAGGAAAACAATAAATGATTTATAATTAGTTTTACCAATAAAAATCAGAAAACTGACATGCATCAGTACTGACAGGAGCTCAGAAGGGACAATCTGCTGTCAAATTTTGTCATTGTTGAGAATCATTTTGCACATTTTTATTCCAACAATTTTAACAGCTTCTGAAAACAGTCAAAGCACAAAAAACACCCAGCTGTGTTTTAGTACTACATTTATGTTTTTTAGTGTCTGGAAAACGAGCAGTTTTTGAAACGCTTTCACCAATCAGGAGGAGCCCAGCCCGTCACCTAGCAACCCCGTAGGAGCCCAGCCCGTCACCTAGCAACCCCGTAGGAGCCCAGCCCGTCACCTAGCAACCCCGTAGGAGCCCAGCCCGTCACCTAGCAACCCGTAGGAGCCCAGCCCGTCACCTAGCAACCCCGTAGGAGCCCAGCCCGTCACCTAGCAACCCAAGTTGAAGTGATTGAGGTTTTTCATGTTAAAATCTTCAATGTTGGAATAAAAGCTGCTTTAGAGCAACATGGTCGTGTTCTGGCTCCGGTTTGCAGGACTGACTGTAAAATGAGTGAGAAGAAAAGCAAATGTAGACGACAAAGCCACCAATATAAACATAAATATAAAGCGAGGCCCGGCGCCTGCAGCTCATCAGTTTCACTCTGTGACCAGTGGAAACCGCAAAGCGACGG